ACAAAACAATCCGTAAAATATATATGAATTCGAATTACGACCGTTCAAAGACTATGATCCGTAAAACAACCAAAAACTATCATCCGCGTGCTGACGATCCGCTTCTTTTGATTATTTGCAGAAAACAGAGCATGTATCAAAACAAGGTCAACTCCAGCCTCGTTGAAAGCCATTACCTATGTATAATTGTACACTGAAAATATGCCTACCCCGCCGACTGGTCTTTAATTTTAGTTGTTTATCCTTAAAAATCGTAATTTTCGTAATCTCGAAAACTAAGACGGGTCTTAGGTCTTAGGTTTTCGTGACACCTTTATAAGCAACGACGACGGCGACGGCTACGAAAACGTCACTTAAGGTGGCTGAACACAGTTTTGCGGGCAGTCAGCGGTAACTTGCGTGACGGCGCGAGTTTTAAATTAGACAAACAAACATGGCGGCGAAAAAAGCAATGGTGCACAGAAGACGATTTCTCAAAATCTACTTATTAAAATTTTGTGATATTTGGCAGAATTTTGACTTTTATCGTATTTTAAATAATGAGAGCTTTAAATTGGAAGTCGAACAGAAGAATTTTGTGATACATTTAATAATTATATTATTGATTATCTGAAAACCCGTCTGTTCAAATTTGGTCAAGTAATATATCAAACATGAGATGCAGTGTTTCATCACCAGATGAAACACCGAGAAGAGAGTTGAAATACGACGCGCAGCGGAGTATTTTTGACGAACTTCGAGGTGTTTCATCTGGTGATGAAACACTGTGTCGAATGTTTGATATTTCTTCTCAAACAAAATCATTTTGGAAGGAGAAATTAAGGATGCAAATACTAAGCAGTGTTTCATCCGATTTCCAAACACTCATTAAACATTAATTTCCTTTGTATTTTCTTAATGAATTATTAATGAGTTTGAGAAATAAGTTTCAAATGGTAATGATTAATTATAGTAAGCTGTGAGCAAGTTTATAGGAAAATCTAATGAGCGAATTTTATGTAAACTGAGCAAAAGTGAAATTTTAAGGTTGTATTCAATCGTCCATGTTGCCATGGAAACAACGAAAACGCCACATTTCACCTGTCGATCAAAATCTTTCATCAGTATATTTTTCAATTGCCAAGTTTCAGCTTGTGAGCTGCAACCTTTCTCTTGCCATGATTTGACAAATGACATATACTCACAAACTGTCAAAACTGTGTTCAACCACCTTAAAAAGTGAATTTGCGCTGCCTCAGACTTATCGAGCTTATTCCATGCGTTTAATTCGTCAAATGTTTGCAAATTTTTTTGGAGTTGAATTCTAAAGGAGTGCATCAAAGTTGAGGAAAAGAAAAAGAAAGTTGTTGTCCGTTTGTTCCCGTCCTCGACAAAACGAGAAATTGGGCAGTTTCACGTTGTAGTGGTGCAACGACGGCAGAGAAATGTACAAAAAAGCTTGATGCACGTGCAAAGTTGTTGTTTGCTTGTCTAAATCTATTGCTTTTTTGCTGTACTCGTTGCCATCGCCGTCGTGGTTGGGTAAACTTCCTAATATCCACACCTAGCCACCTCCACTTCGGTGAATAATTGTTAAATATACACTTGGAGAGTTTGTCAGACACGAGTTCACAAATCTTTGATTGGAAACCTTTGCCAGACACTCTTTCTCTCTCTTTGACTGGAATAAGACTCAACCCCAAACAAGGAAGATGAGTAAAGTGAACGGCTAGCTTATCACTAGCAGAACGATTGACGATTACAGAAATTCTCCGACAATCAAATTCTGTGCTGACTTATCCCCTACTCACAGATGTCCTTCCGCTATAAAGTTTAAAATAGGCTGATTTAGCAACAGGACGGGAACGTCAGTTGACGACGGGAAAGCGCGCGGAAAGGAGTAAACTCGACTTCCGATGCCCAATTTGTCGCTCTGCCATTGGTCAAGCCAGTTATTTGATTTGCGCGCGCCGTCCTGAACTGACGTTCCCATTCTGTTTCTAAATCAGCTTAATAAGTCTAGAATGCGCGACCGTGAAGTTATCAAACGTCCTTTTCATTTCTAAGCAGGGGGCTTACTTGCCGACAAATAAAATGAACTGTAAATCTCTTCTGATAGTTTAGAATACGCTATTCTCGAAACCGAGAATATTTTTTCAAAGCTGTGTAAATCGAACTGAAACTGTGTTTGGAACCTTGCATTTCCTGTTTTTATCTCACCTATTGTATGGAATATGTGTGAATTAAATATTCATAATGAATAGGTATATATCAAAGAGCTACGCAACGACCAAGAATACTATTGACCGAAAGTATACAGATCGGGCGTAGCTTGTGCCAGGCTCTCAGATAATATAGTGGGGACGTATTAAAACGTGCAAAGCGAAAATAAGACGCGCGCGACTTGGGAACCGGGGGGCGGTCTCTTCTCAGCCCCCGCGCGTTTTTCGCATTTCTTTTTACAGAACGACTTTTAACCACTATCTTGGAGCCTTATTAAAAACAGGCTAGAACGGGGAGAACTGTGGTGTCAGCCATTACTAGTTTTTATTCATATTGGTGGAATTTGAAAAGGTACTAAACAGCCCCGACTTAAAAAATGGTACCCATTTTTCTTGTTACGAAAGTCTTCTGTTTAGGTTCGATTTATTACGACCAAGTACAATCCAGAGTATATCAAAAGGTGACATTAGATCCAAGTGTAACCCTAATTAATGATTATAAAATCACACATATTGTAACATCTTCCAAAAGGGTAAATGTTCAAATGAGTAACTGTTTTTAAAACTCTCAAATGAGATGTTACGTCACGGAATGGTCAGCGACAAGCCTGGTGGCCTAAGTCTGCAGCCACCCCCTTCCCCAGGAAAATTGGCAGCCCTGTTAAAATCGCCTTTTGGCGATTCTGTTTATAAGTGTTTGCAGATGTTTTACATATGTTTTATTATGAGACTAAGAGAAAGTTTCGGTAGTCGTTTTCAGGAAGGTTTTACAATCCATATTAAGAAAACAAGAATTCTAGGTATTCGTCATCCTCGGAGACCCAGGGGCAGATAGTGGGGGCGAGGGAAAGAAAACTTGTGTTTTTCTGGCACCAATCAGAAGCCAGAACGGCGGCGACCGTTTAGAACTGGTCTGGTAAGGCATTGTCCCCAGGGGCTCTTCTCGCCGTTCTTTACTTTTCTTTGTGCCTTATTTTCCCGCCCGTTTAGACTTTCCCTCGCCCCCACTATCTGCCCCTGGGTCTCCGAGGATGGGTATTCGTTTGTTGACGACATCAGCCAGGCTCTATTTCCGCCGCTATCTCGTTCCTCCCCAGGAGGAGAAGGAGCGCGGGCTCATTTACCGAACAGCGGCTAGTAATCGAGCCGAGATATGCTTTTGTATGTATAGCATCGCATTTGCCTCCATTTCAAGTACGGCCCTTGAAATCGAGGCTCTTTCGTTCGCAGTCAACCGATTGAGAAAGAAAACAAAAAAACACTCAGAACCCCAAATAGGGTGTGACCCCGGGAGAAATCCTGTTTCGTTTAGAAAGCCACGTTTTTGCAAGCGAAGAGTATGAATGCAAGTGAAGATAAAATTCCCAAGAATTGAAGCAATATGTTTCTCAGTCTGTGTTTTGTCTAAATTTGTATTCAGCCAGGCTTTGTTGTATTTTATTTTTAATTGATCAAGTGGGAAGGAGCGTTGAGTGACGACACTAAAGCAGACTAAATAAACTGCAACTGATGCAAATTATTTGAAATGTCTTGCCTTATTTACTCCCAGCACTTCACTTGCCACTGGAAACTGCTAGTAATATATGTCACGTGGCTAATGTTTAACAAAATGACTGATGCTGAAAGATCAGCTACAGTAATTCATACAGTTCCTAATGAGGTTCCCTCTGAGTGACGCACGTGAAGAAACAGTAGTGTCCCTTTAGGACCGCTTTAGACCTCCAGCACCAAATCGTCTTTCAGGTGGCTCCCTGTACTGAAGTGCAGCGCCCTAGTCTTCTTGGAGGCTGCGAGGTACTGAAATAAGGCCAACTTTATGTGAAGTTGTTCAGAGTTTTGTTGTATGTTGTATACAAAAAAGTCATTTCCTGAAATTTGTGTTGCCATTTCAGGTGACAGGCTAATTTTTGGTGTTTTTACTGTACTATTTGTGAAATGAAGCCAAATATTTTTGAGATTTTTAGAACTTTTTCCAGATATGTAGAAAAAAATTGGGAATTTCCAGAAACATATTTAGGCGATTTTAGGTGATATTTGTACCTAGGGCTACAAGATCTCTAACGTTCTCCCTTCCAATATCCCTCCGCAATGTCTTTATGTAGGCAGTTGTCGGACTACCTCCCTCTTGCAGCCCTTGCAGGTGTTTTGCTTGTCTTTCCAGAATATATTTTTCACCATTTGCAGACTTCTCGTGTAAGTTCCATCTAGGCTCTTAGCTTTTCTTCTTTTTTGGATATGTTCTGTTCTGAGTAACCGACGCCTAGCCTGAGGAAGAGAAAAGAAGGGGCCGGGAAAGATCTCGGACGTTTGAGATTCAACCCCCAAACATTCGTCATTTTTACAAAAAAGGCCCCACCTTGCGAGGACAACATAGAAGTTATATATTTTTGTACTTAGCTGAAAACTGATGGCAAAACAATAAACTTAACTGGAAAAAACCGAGTTGAAAACTTTGCCGCTAGTCGGGAAGAACTTCGAGGCTCCTGATTTGACGTTAAGAAAGTGACTATAATTAGAGTCGAATGTTATTTAAAGCAAAAATTGTGCTGACAAGACCAAAAAAGTCTTAATCAGCCTGTAACAACAGGATGGCTCAGTCGTCACACAACTTTTGAGTCGTCACGCACGTTGCGTCACGACACAATGTTCTCTAAATACGCGGTGCCCTCGGGACGAGCGTTGTTTGGCAGAAGCACGAAGGCGCCATTTTTGAGTCGTTTGATGAGTTTCACCATCAAAAGTGTGCTGTAAAACACTATGTTATAAACGAACTGGTAATGGGCAGAGCTTTACAGAAACATGCAAGGGGAAAGAATCCTCAAATCACTTCTAAACAGAGAGATAGATGGTCTTTATGAGGATACGAAGGTAAGTTGATCAAACTTAGCTGTTTGCTAAATTTAAGCTGCTGAGAAATTATGGTAGCTTAATTGAGGACGCTTTGTAGCTCAGTTAGCGAAGGTACTTACGATTTGTAAGGCTACTCACTTTCAAAAACGTTTCCTTGAATAAAAATTTAGTTCATTTCAAAGCGAGCGTCTTGTTACACTCTAGCTTCAATTGCAAGAATCGCGCGCATCTACATTCATGAGCAGGTCATAGAATGAGTGTCACTTGAAAGCGATCCTCAACTTAATAAATTACACTTATTTTAGACGTCTTTTTTGCCAAAGCCTCTCATTTTTCTTAACTCCATATTTTAAATGGTGTAGCCTTCACCCTTGATATGTTGTTTTTAATATTGTTTGGTGGAACTTGCAGAATTATCTTGCTCCACTGCAATGTCCGCTAAAGAACAAAAATGGCTGCCAAGCAGGAGGCAAAGCCACAGAGGAAACTGTATCAAAGTACGCCGTTTTTTGTACGAAGTTCCTAAGGTGTGCTATAGAGACCTTGAAAAATGTAAAAGCCAAGGGAAATGACCTTATTGAGGTCACAGATGCCTTGAAACTAGGTAAGATGAAGCATGTGAACATCTTTAGTTGCTGTTTGGGAGTAAGGTCTTTTCTGAGTTCCTAAAATAAGCTTAATGCTTACTCTTAAAATGGGACCAGCTTCAAAACCTTACTAATGAAATTCTACTTATTTTTAGTGCTACATTGTCAATGTGGTATTTCCAGCTCAAATGACTATCCAGTAAGACACCTAGATATTTTACATGATCCTTACACTCAAGGGAAGTAAGAATGTGATTACTATTATCAACAATAATTGGAATATTGACCGAATGGTCCATCTTACGTTGGTGAGGACAAAAGATAACAAAGTTTGATTTTTTAGCATTTAATGTTAGCTTATTTGCATTGAGCCAGTCCGAGACTCTGACCAGTTCGTTATTGACCATTTTTTCAAGAGATTTAAGATTTTTGTCGGCATACAACAAATTTGTGTCATCTGCAAAAAGGTAAAACGAAAATTTCGCTGAAGAATAAAACTTTACAACCTACTTATGGTCTGGGACTCCCAGGTAGATACAACACATTTCACAATGCAAGGAAATAGCATTTTCAACATGTTGTTTAAGTAGGGCACAACAAAGTGCTGTCTGATAATCCAGAGCCAGTAAGGCTTAAATATGGGTCAAATATAAGTTGTCCAATAAGCAAACCACATTTGCTTTAAGTGTGAGATTAATAGAGGGCTATAAAGTTGCATGTAACTTGCAAATTGTTCTGTTCATATTTCAGTGGGGACACTTCTCAACAACACCTTATCACTCCATCATGGAAACTACCTGAAGTTTATTCCTTCAGTAGATCAGCTTGCTAAAACACTTTACCTTATTGTTGCTCAGCTCATTGCCAAGGCACAGTTTGAAAGGGCTCTGGATCATGCTAATGACCTATATAAATTCATCCAGCTTCTTAAGGCGTGGAAGAGCTACGACAGTGAAAAGATGGACAAGGAAATTGGATCACTTTGCTTACGTTCATCTGATTTGTTACTTCAAGGAGGAGGGAAGTTAGAGGAGGCAAAAGTACCTCCAGGGGAAAGACCATCTCACTTGTGTGTTGTGTTAGAATGGAGAAAGCTCTCATTACTTTTTCAAGCAGAAGCAAATGTACATTCTTCACTAAAATCCTTGGTAGATAGAACTCTGAAATGTGGGACAAAATTTCAAGTGGATTGTGGGCTCAAGAATGTTGATTTTAAAACCTTAGCAAGCTTCTTTAAAACCATTTTTAGTGCACTCATGAACAAGCAAGAACAACTGATTGCAAATGGACGAGAATTTACATTTCTCTTGGCTGAACTTGGATTTCATTATGGAAGAATTTGCAATAAGGCTGGAAACTCAACAGAAGCTTTGGCTGTGTTTGATAAACTGTTGAAAACTGCAGGAAATGAAAACCATTGCAAAAATGGACATTTTAAACTACAAATACCTTCACAAGTTTGTTGCTGTGTGTGTCTAGTCTGCAAGGCAGCTATTTTGTTGAACTCCACTATAAAATCTCAAACTCAAGAATCTCTTCAGCAGATGTTATTCGAAAGTAACCGGCTAATCTCCCAGATCCTGAGGTGTAGCACATTACCTTCGCCAATGTTAAAATTACTTTCAGACTCCCTGGAGTACTTCAGAATTAATTTGCAAAATGAAAGTAGCAAAAAGAGTAAGGAAAAATCACCTACTCTTTCATTGAAGACTCTCCAAGCAACAGTACAAGTGCTGCAGTCTTACATCTCAGTCTTATCTTTGCAGTGTGAGCGGCTTAAATCAGAGCTGCTTAAATCCAAACATGACGATGTCTTGGCACAGCTAAAACAACAGGCTCTAAAGACCACAGAACGGCAAATGACAGTATTTAGTTTTGTTATTTCTTCATATCAAGATCAGTTGAGGAATGAAAAAGATGCAAAAAGTTCAATCAGGGATTCAAGGTCAGTAGTACAGGTATCGCAAAACTTTAAAACAGTTAACTACAGTGTACACACTGTAGTTTAAGGAAAGGATTATGTTGTGCTTTTATTTCTCTTTGTTTTGGGGCATATTAATAGATGAAAATGAGTGAAAAACAAAGGGAAACAGTGTGCAAAGAAAGTAGCATCTGATAGCCCGCGGCTAGTGGATTTTGGCATTGGGCTAGTGAATTCTGTTCTTAACTTGCCCGATGGGCAAGTGAAGTATGTTGAGGAATTCAACTTACAGAAGAACTGTGAAATCAATTCTGCTCATCAAAAAAATTGAGGGGTTAGTTGAAATGACGTTTGGGCTAATAAATGCTAGCTTCAGCTTGCCCAAATGACAAGCTGTAAAAATGATTTTCTTTGCACCCTGGGAAATAAAATTTAAACCAAGGATAAATTTGAACCATAACATTATACATGTAACACTGCTCAAACTTTTATTGCATATCCAGTATCCTCAACTCTTGCCAATCAGCCTACCGATTCTTGAAACAAAATTACAAAATAATATCTCTAGAATTTGTCTTTGTGTTACACACAAATGGGGATGTACACTTTAGGCAATATCTCTGACAAGATGGCATTTTGGGGAAGATGTACCGTAAGTAGTCTGGGTGTGGGAAGGTCCTTGGAAAGAGACTAAGAGAAATCTAGTAAGAATATCTATAAAGAATAGGGGAATGAATGAATGTACAGCTGTTGGTGGACCCTTACAAAGAACTACAGAGGTGAATGTTACTGGGTATCAATCTTGAGAGAGTTTACTGTGCTGTTAATGTTAACACATTCTTTATTTACATTATGCAGATGTGAGATCTTTAAGGACTGTATTCCAGTAGTGGAACAAGCAAACTCTGTAATTCATTCTGCCCTTGATGATCCAGACATCCCATTGTCTCCAAACGAGCTCCGCTGGCTAGGCTGCAATGTGTTCAATTTGGGCTGTGTGTCATATCAGAGAGATTGCTTTACTGAAGGAGTTCCTCTGTTAGCTATTGCTTGTGAAGAGCTGCGAGTATGGTGCTTTAATGGCAAGACTGATGAGGAAATTCTTACAAGGATTGTGGAGGTAATATGGCCTTAAGCCTTGTAATTTTTCTAACATACTGTGTGGCATGAAATGTTTGTGGGAGTTTGCAACTTTTGTGTTTTGCGGGATCAAACAATGCTACAGTTTGTGTACCCTACACTGTATGTAAAACCAGTATAACAGATTACTTTTCTTTGTCATTCGATTAAAGTAACATCTGGGATGACTGATTGTTCTGATTATCAATTGGAAGATGTTAAGTTGCAAAATATTTACTGTGGAGAAATTTTTTGCAGGAAAAATGTGTGTTTGAAAAATCGCAAAAATTAGAACCCACAAAAATTTCGTGCCACAAGGTAAATGATGTACCATTTTGACAAGCCCCAATAGAGATGATTACCAAATTTATCCTTTGTATAATACTAGTGCTCACCAATCATTTTTTTCATATTAGGTATTAAATACTTGTGATTCATTTTTTTGCACTGTGCATAAAATGCCACATCAATGATTTTCCTTTTTTCTGAGAAATGGAAGCAAACACTTGTGATGTTAACCCACCAAATGGGTCTTACAGTAATCTGTCCTGTCATGCCATCATTAATAATATAACTGATTTCTTTTAGGTGAAGCTCCTAACAAAATTTGCACTGCTGACTGACTGTCAGCGACGAGCCAAACAGATGGCTGGTGCACTGACAACAGCTACCACTCAGGTTCTCATGGCTCTTCAAACTGGTTCTGATGCAAATGTCTTGAGGCAGCAGATCAAACAATGGACCACAGTGAAACATGAGCTGGTGAAAAGTATGCAAGATGAAAAGAAACAAGCTGAAAGATCAAGGTTTGTCATGAATTTTCATTAAAAAATTACTTTTGATTAAAACCACACACGCACCACTGGTTCAGAATACATGAATATGTCATATTTTTATTACAACTGCATGAATCCTTCAGTGAGGTGCTCTTTTCTAAAAAGTATGAGATTCTGTTAGTCCAAATACGTCATGTGATGTCTTACCTGTCTTTCTATTTTTCTCTGTTTACCATAGAACCCTGTGCAGTGTTTTAGCAGAACAGAAAGATGCTGAAGATATTAACAGCAGTCAGCTTTGTTTAGTTCTTCAGGAAGAGCTTGCTTCCTACAAGGCAAAGAAGTAAGTTCTCAAAAAGACAGATATCAGAAGGTTTCTGGATTTGTCGCAGAAACAGGGAAAGAGTTCCTCATTTTAATTGTCCATTTAGCTCTTTTATTACCATACAAAATAGTATGAACAAGATCCTGGAAAGAAATAAATACAGTTAAACTGGGAAAACCATGAACACCAGAAATATTTCTGGAATGCTATTGTCTTGCAAGAGAAAAGCCAATCAGGCCTTCGTTTTCATGGGCTATTGACTCAGAGCCCATTCGGGCTCGAGGAATAATTGTTAAATACCCAACAACTTTACATGTATGCAGATGATGAGGTTCCTAAAAAAGTTCTCTTCTATTTCATTTACAGTACTCAGTCTCCCAAAAATGTTTTGTCCTTTATACATGTGTATTCAATTATCATTTGAGGGGTTGATTTGAACCCAGGAGTCGCTTCATAAGTGCGTACAATAATTATGATTGTCGGGGTGAGTGTTGTCCTGAATATAATGACTGTTGCTGACTCCAACGAAGATAATCCTGGGTTATCCTTTATCCCAATTCTGTTTTGAACCACTCTGGCCAATTGATATTGTACACCATTAAGTGGTCTATTTTTTCTCTTATTTCCAGTTATGACACCACAATGGAGCAAATTTCTGTCATCAGACAGCTTATGGAGCTGTACATTATCCAAGATGATGAGTTTCATTATGGTTCAGTGATGCTTGAGCTTGGTGTGGCACTGCATGGCCTTGGAGACAAAGATCTTGAGGAGGAGAAGTGAGTCTAAAGCTTATGTGTGTTCTGGATTAGTATGTGGCATTTTGTCTTACATTTAGGTAAATGACTTTGGAATAGCAAAAATACATTAACATCAAACATGCTCTTGTTTGATCACAGAGTGTAACTTGAGGTAAAGTTAAGGGACATTCAGCCAGCTGTTTTGTTACAATGTCATTCAGGGTTATATGGCCCATTATGAAGCCAGTCACTTTAGTATTACTGTAATCTTGACTGTTTTTATAGGCAAAGTCATTTTTTGAAAAGAGATTTTTCTTCACTTGAACTTTACACAGTACAGACTGAACACAAGTGACGCATTGTGGTATCCATTCTCTGTGGATTCCATGCTCTTGTGATAATTGATGATAAAGTGTCATCAAGGTTGTTGAAGTGGAGAAGGATGTCTCATGGTTCACATCTCTAATTGGGCAATACCCCAATCCCCAGCCAGCCCTCAACAAAAGCCCTAAACATTTTGATATTCTTTCCTCTAGGTCTGCACTTGAGTGCTGTCAAGAGGCAGCTGCAATTCTGGAGCAGCTGGCAGACACAGCAGCTAACACAGATGACGACAAAAATCACCTGTCACTTGTGCAGGACAGACTTGCTGCAGCATATTTATGGCTTTCATTGTTAGAGCACAAAGCAACAATGGAAGACAAACCAGAAGCAAAATCAGCAGAGGAGCTCAGTGATAGTTATGACACAGAGGAGGTACTTGTACGTAAAATGTTTTTTTTTCTTCAGAGGGTATGCAAATCTGGCCCCAGTTGTTCAAAATGTGGATAATGCTATCCACTGGATAAATCACTATCCTGTGGATAGCACAATTATTGTTTGTTATTTGATCCACTGACTGGATAGTGATTTATCTGGTGAATAGCCCTATCCAACATTTGAACAACCAGGGCCAGAAATATATGGGAATGGGGGGGGTGGTCAGGTGTGATAAAGTGTACCCCTTGCTTATAGTTGTATTTCCTTTTGTAATTACATAATGAACTTATTCCTATATAATTTGACTTCTCTTTTTAGGTTGAAGGGATATGTCTGCAGCAGCCATTTATGTCATCCCTTCATTCAGCATTGGAAATGTGGACAGTGGTAGCAAATAGATCAGTGCAAGAAGGGAAAGACAGAAAGGTAGAGTTGGGGCATTATGCAGTTTGTGTTTTTTATGATTCATGTCTACTGGGTCAGAGGCAAGAAAAGAGAGCACTTCTTTTTTTCTCATCCCGTAAAACTTACTCACAGGTTAAAACATGAAAAGTTTGGAAACTTGATTAGTCTGCATAAATACTATAGATTACATTTATTTAAGCAATATCTGTTGTTCTTTTTGCAGATTGACTTGCAACACTTTGTTAACCCTGAGGAAACTTGCCATTACCTTCTGATTATTGCTGGAATGTTTGGACTTGTCAACCAGGTAAACTGAAAGGAAACAGAAGGCTGTTTCTGGGGACTGTCTCATGGAACAATAACTGACACACGCTGTGTTAGGTTCTTTCTGCTGATGAGTTCTAAAAGAACAACAATAACAGTGTAGTATGTTAAAAAAGCAGTGCTCATCAAAAAAATCAAAACATGTTTTCAATGAAAGACTATAATTATAAATACAAGTTAATCTCAAGATTAAATAACTTTCTAAAATTAGTTGCTGAGGGTGAAAGGAATCGTATCAACATCTGAAAATCATGCATTATCTACTTCAGTGACTTGCAGCGTCCCTTGGGAAACTACTTTATATCTTAATGTGTCCTTCAGGAGTTTGAAATAATCTGGAGACAAAATATGCAATTGTGCTTCAAATAAATAAACCCTCTGGGTGCTTACAGTAGGAGAAGGATTTACGGTAAACTGTTTTCCTTGCAACCATTCATTGAGTAATTTTTAACTTTTTACAGCCATTCAAGAAGGTGTGTGCTCTTCATCTTGCTGCTACCATTGCCCAAACGATCAGCACTAACAGTATGCTGGATAATAGAATATCTGCCTGTAGTGAAGCTGTTCATACTCTCTGTTATGTACTGGACATTTCTCATGCTAGTCTTCTGCTGCATCAGACCAGTGATGTGTTGGAAACCCTTGAACCAAGTGGATCAGTTATGGTCCAGTTTCTGTTGGCAAAGGGTCACTATCTGTTAGTCGCAGGAAAGGTGAGCTAATAGACCTTTTTACCGATACGGCGGCCATATTGAATTAATTCGATTTAAGGAGTATTATAGGATGCCCAGGGGGCATGAGCACATTTCGTTTGTATTTTTGAGCGCTTTTCGGGGCATTTTTTCTGGAATTTTTCTTAGAATAAGATTGTAATGGGAAAAAAGATCCCTGTGCCGTGTTTGGATGTAATAATGATCGCCTTTTTCCCGAGAAATATACAGTGAAAGACCATATTTCTAATACTAAACTAGAAAAAGGCGATCATTATTACATCCAAACATGGCACAAGGATCTTCTCTCCCATTACAATCTTATCCTAAGAAAACTTGAAGAACAAATGTCCCTAAAAGTGCTCAAAAATACAAACGAAATGTGCTCAAGCCCCCTGGCATCCTATAATACTCCTTAAATCGAATTAATTAAAAATATGGCCGCTCTATCGGTAAAAAGGTCTATTGTTCCAGAATCATTTTTTTGCTTCATTCCTTTAAGCACGAGGGGTAATGAATACTATTAAAAACTGAATCATATTGGCTAGCCATCATGGTATATGAGCTATATACCATGCTCTCCAAATAAGGTAACTGTGCAGTTGTATACGTCTGCTCAAAATTAAAAACTAGCTGAAAATTGGTTGTTTTTACAAATGGAATCGGAAAGAATTCTCAACATTTTGTGGGCATTTTTAATAAAACAATTATTCCACTCACGAATGTTAAATAAGAGATGATTAAAATGGAAGGACAAATTTTTAAATTTAGTATACTATAATACAGAGCTTCTGAGTCAGTGTCTTCAGATTAACTGCCTGGTTACATAAAGGCCCAAACATTTTCAATTTAGGATTCATTGGTTCTGGACTGGGACTCATGATTTTTCACAAGATGAGTCCCAGGACTCACTATAACATTACTATTTGTAACAAAATCCCTATACACACAGGTGCCCTGGATTTCACAAGTTCAGATCACTGGGTTTCTGTCAATGTTTTCGCAGAGCACAGCCTTGCTACCAGTCCCTGCCTCTAAGAGTGTAACCTCACATTTATCAGTATCTGAGTGACTGTTTGTTTTCCTCTAAACTGAACATAATTATCTGTTACTGTGTTTAGTACTCAGAGGGAGAGCAGTGTTTAATGGAAGTGTTACAGAGTGATGCTTTGACCCAGAAGAGCTACAAGTCCCACTTACTGAAGGCCAGATTAATGTCTTTGTGTGCGAAATACTCCATGCTCCCAGCTAAACTCCACAAATTCAGCATTACTCTGGGTGAGTTGAAAACTCAATTTAATAATTTACCAGTAATATGTTGTTTTAGTATTCTAGTAATATTTACATTGTATATTCTAGTTAGACCAACATCACAATGAGCATTATGTACCAACGGTTTATTTCTCTGACAAAATCAAATCTAAAGTTTTGCATCTTATGAATCCTGGGCCAAAAGTATAGTCATGGGTAAAATTACATCACGATTTTTTAGGTTTTATGATCTCTGCATTTCTTTGCTTGTGGATCCGAAGAAAGACCAGGATTTCCTGTAAAAATATGAGGCCAACCATCTCACCACCTCAGATTCTGCAAGTACCGCTGGAATACTCGAGAATCCATTCTCTTGAAGAAATTTATTTGGCTGAGAAAAGTCAAAAAGCATTGATAGTTCTCAAAACATATATTTGCTTTAATTTACGGTTCGGCAGTTGACAGTTTTTGATCTTGGCATCTTTGACGTATAGCATTGGAAAAGGTGGCTGTCTGACATCCAAACCATCAACTGTCAAAGGAAATCTTTTTGAGATTTTTTGATTTCCCAACATTTCCCTAAGAAATCCAAAAATCTGAGATCAATTATCTAATTTTGGGCCCCTGCATGGAAATGTACCAAACTTGTCATTGTGTGGTTACATGTAACAGAGGAACGAATAATGTCCTGAACACTGAATTTAGTAAGGTGTCCATTAAGGGAATATTAGGTACGTTGCTTTGGGATGATCAGGATCAGTGATTCGAGATCACTCCGATCATTGAAGATCAAATGAACTGATGAATCCTTGTTCAGAGTGGATTCATCAGTTCATTTGATCTACTATGATCCGAGTGATCTCAGATCACTAATCCTGATGCGGATCATCGCAAAGGAACGCACCCATTGACTCTATCATGAATGATCTTGCTCTTTTGTGAAGATCCTGTTGTTGGTTCACTTACTTCTTTGGAATGTGCTCTTGATGGATTTCACAAGTTAAGCCACATGGCTGAGGAGGTGTTTGGAGAGGATGTGTTCAGCAGTGGGCGGAAGAAGGGCAAACAATAAAAATGTGTCAGGTAAAAAGATGACCCTTTTCTTTTTTAATATTAGCCTGCAATTATCACCTCTCAGGATATGTCACTGAATAGCTTGTCAGACATGTTTGTTTTTTGTGCCTGCTGTTCCCCTCTCTTCATTCATTGAATGAGCAAAAAGTGAAGCTCTGCCTCCTACTTTGCCTTGATTTTGAGTTAAATGCTTACAAGGATATCAAACTGCAACCTACAACTTTACAGTTGGACCACCATTCGTTCACCAAAACGTAACAACACCAAAAGTGTGTTTGCTTATGTTTAAAGAGGTCTCAAACTTAAATGGATCAAGTTCTAGCCACGCGATTTGTTTTCCAAGTGGAAGTGAATTTTTCCCTGTTCTTTTTCATCTTCATTTTATGCGTGTGATTAATTTGTTACAATTATGTTCATTTCTTTATCATCAACAACACTAACTCACTACACTTTCAAGTACTTCATTTTGTTTCAATTTCTACAGCCGAGGGTCCTCTTATTCTAGCAAGTGTCAATCAAAGCCTTTTCCAGATGTCACTACTGAATGAGCTTCTGTCTTCATTACTACAAGTTGGCCAGTTATATACCCAACAAGGAGCTGTAAGGGAGGCATTCAGGCAGTTTGTAGATGGTCTAACTTTGGCAAGACACTTTGCTCTACCTTACAGGTATTGATTATAATGCTTTTCTTTAACCAGCCTCGTTTAGGATTGTCTGATCCAATACACAGTAGTCAGCCATAATTATCTCGCACTTTTTTGTTCATTTTCAGCAGCACTGTAATGCTATGTTAGTTCCTAGGCAGTAAAATGAATTCGTTTTGTTGGTCTTTGTCAAACAGGCTTTAAATTCTGTTTGTTAGTTTCATAATGTAATTGCAAGGTTGCAGCATGGAAGTAGCTAAAAAGAAATCACTGTTATCGGTGACAGAAGAATAATTATTTGCCATTACATCCTACTTTTAATTCGCTTGGGAGATAAACATTTTGCGCAAACTACAGAATGTAACATTGCCACTTATATTCGACCTGATTACATATTGATAGGACAAACTTTTTTAAAATCATTCTTCTCCTTTAGGATTGCAGAATTTCTCGTTAACATTGCTCAGTTGGAACTCAAACAAGGCAAGCGTGATAAGTGTGAAAGTCGTCTTGAGCAGCTCAGTGGACTCCTACAACCAGTTTTGAAACCTTCCAACCGATTCAAGCTTTCCAAAAATGAAATTCAAGAACCTCGGCTTCTTGGTCATCCACAGACATGCGAATGTGTAAATTGTATTGACACAACACTTCACAACATACTGATTAGGTACTCCTTGAGTGTTGCCAAATATCTCTTGTATGTTTCAAGACCCGAGCAATCAGGGGAGGCTTTAGAACTGGTGCAGTCAGTGTGCTGAAAAGAAAATGGTGATGTGTGTTCAGAGACTTGATATGATTTTATGTGGTTGTGCATGTAGTGCTCCAAGTGAAGGGATTTTGAAAGAGACAAAGAAGAAAGTCAAAGCAAAGTCTGCAAAAGGCAGAAAACAGAAACAGGTCTCAGGGCTACAAAGTTGTTCTGTTTCACAGTTAATGTTTTGTCAGTATTTGCTTCATTCTATTGCATTTAGTACACCTGTTTATAAACGTTTTTGTTCCAATTCTTTATTTCTTTATTCATTTTAGACCTACAGAGCTGGATGCATTAGTTTTTGGCCATCTTCCTTCAGTTTTGACCAGATATCTTTCAGATAATTCTCTCAGTTCTGTCGTCAGGGCAAACAAGCACCTTGATAACTTTGTCGTGAGAATATTGGGGGAATTCTTTCAGTGACTAATCAAGAATCTGCCATTTGTTTGGCTCACAAATATTTCTCAAGGCCATTCGTACCTTAGAAAAATAAGGACAGACAAGGAAAAGTGAGACTTTTTTCTTCTGCTCTTATAAATGCACAGGTGTCTCATAGCTCGGATACGTTTTGTTCAAGATTGCCAGGTGACTATGGGCGTATTAACTTGATTTTTCCCGTCGACGACCACCACCTCCCGTAAGCGAGCGACCACTTTGTCGTACAATGTAATTATTCACTTCTTATTTCAATTTTAACAACCCCCCAAAATCCAAATACACCCCCTAATTTTTCTGCATTAAAAACATTCGAAAAATCATCCAGAAATTATTGAACTAAGGACTCCAAACTAATTGAGTCATTTTTGGATTGAATGAAATCTTGGCTAGATATTTTAAAAAAGGGTTCGGGAAATAAACGAAAAACAATGCTTTTTACCAGACTCCCGCCTTAAACGCTGCTCTTCATGATCAGTTGATTTCACGAAACATGTTCTGAAGAAGATGTAAGCAACTATAAAACTGGTTTGTGTTGTTACGCATATATGGCCCTGTCAAATGAGAGCAGTGTGAGCGCGTAGCCTAAATTTCCTTCCCCTTCCCTTTCGAACGCCTACCAAGCAGGCTACTCATTTGGGTGTGCAAAAATTGCCATCTGCCCCCCTACCCCTTCCTCTGCTATCCCGTTCCCTTACGGTATGTTTTTGTATGTTGGAGGCTGTTAGGATATTTCATGTGGCATACATGAAAAATCTTCTTGAGGAAGCCAGACGATGGCGACGGCGTCGGTCTGATTGCAGTGTGATTCGGGCATTGGTTTAATAGCTCAGATTGGTGCATTGTTTTTGATATTAGAGTAGAGATTACTGGAAGAGCATTGAAAAGCAAACGAAAAGCGGGGTAAGGAAACTTTTTTTAACACAGCACTTTCAGTTAGAAACATCCTCCATACCTATGTTGATCCCTCGGGCTGATCGGCGGGTTGCTTCTGCTTGCTGTTATCACAAATAGCTGTAATGTGCTCTTTACTTACAAATAAGTCCCTACTTTTTCCTGAAATGATACATTAACCGACCTAGTTGAGATGTAACAACTTGTTTCGAGAAATACGATGGACTCACTTCCGGCTTGGTATCAAGGTTCGTCCCCAGCGAACCAGTTTAGTACAGCTGTTTTATTATTGGGAATTCACAGTACAGACTGTTGCCGTATTTCGTTTCCTTGCTCTCCGTAGAAAACTTAAACCTAGAAACACATTTTAAGTTTTAAAATTTCACACATTTCATTCTTTATCGGCCCCCCTGAGAATGGGGGATTTTTGAATAGGGTAGCTCAGATTCTTCTCCAGAGAAGCCGAAATTGGACCCTTCAGACCTTTTTTAAAAGTTGCAGACAAATAATTAATCCTTCAAATTTCATTTCTCAAAGGGCACGAATGAAAAGTTGAGCATTCAGATTCCAGCCATCTTTACCAGGGGGGAGGACGGGAAGGTGCACATAATTCACCTTCTGAGCGTCAGATTTCACGTGTAGTTTCACGTTACTTTTGATGACCTTTGTTGTAAACAAACCCCTAAAGTTCGGACATCCGTTCTCTGCCACATACTGTACTTGTATGAACTACGAGTTGCTATTTCAAGTTCGCGTTACAGTCAAGGCAGGTCAAGCGTACCCCCCAAGATTCTATTAATGAATTAAATATTTGAAAAATGAATCTGTTAATCATTCCTGTAACTATTGTCAAATTCAAATCAGCATTCCTGCATGCGCAATGAGCAGTGAATATTTTACGAGAACTTCCCAGTATTTGGTCAGATTGAAAATCTTTGAATGGATTAAATTTATTAGAAGACATTTACATCAAATTCAGGGAAACTGAGCTGGTAGAAATTTCGCAACTGAATTGCATGTGAATTCACAGCTCATTGCACACGCAAGAATGCAGAGATGAATCTGAAATCTACAACTACCCACGGATTCAACTTTCAAATAATGAATGAATGGGATCTTGGGGGGTACGCTTGACCTGGCTTGACTGTAATTTATAAATTTCAAGATTCAAGGTGGCAACCTTGTTTTGAGATGTCACAGAAATCCAGCAGTGCCACCACCCACAAAGTATTCCTCATCATGTAGAGAAGATCAAAGGCTTTCCACTGAAGGCAAAATTCTTTTGAAACACTGCAACATATCAAAAACTATAAAAGAGGGGGGGTCCATCAACCCACCCCTCTTGTACCACGGTGGAGGTCTGTGTGTATGTCTGAGGTTTAAGCAGTGGTCCTATGGATGTCGTCAAGCTGACAATGATTAAGCAAAATTCTATACTATTTTGCAAAAGTTAGAGTCCTTACATGTCCAAAGCAATGGAGCTAAGAACCAAAATTTGGTTTTTTGACTAAACTGGGATTCGGCTAAAAACTTTAAACAGCGAACTTTAGAGTACCCGACTACTGTTTTTTATGCCTATAATATTATGCCTCATAATTCCGAAGTTGAGTTGAAGTATCATACCACCAAAATCATACAAGCAGTTACACTATCCAAAACAGTAGCAGTGGACAGAAAAGGGTGAAATAAAACTGAGAATCACAGTAGCTATACAAAGCATGCATAATACTATTGCATAAAACTGACATTTAATTTAGCAGCCAATAAGTTTACAAAATTCTAGTACTCTGATACATACCTATACATGTACCTTAACCTATGGTGGCTGAAAACTGTCTATTGAAAATCGGAATTTTGGATGTTATTCTTTTGGCTATTATTTCCTTTATCTCTTTTTTTCAGTTTATTTATATTTTTTTGATTTTATATTATAAGAAAAGTGAAAGGAAAACGAATAGAGCCACCCAAAACGAAATGAAGCCCAGAAATTAAAATCTAAATTAAAGCAAAATAGATTTTGATGCAGTTAAGTACTAGTCTGCTACTACCAGCATGCATTTCTGGACTATTACACAGCAGCTCCACTAATAATGGCGACATATGATGCAGTTTCACTTTTATCTGATTTAAATATTCCATATTTCAAACCCTGCGTTTACATCATTCCATTCATTTTTTAGTATTGTATGAAATGAAAATTACAAAATGAAATATTTTATTAACATTTTAAAAGCTTCGCGTGACTAATCTCGCATGACTTATTTTACAAAACCAATTGACGTCATATGGCGGCTGTCGCTCTTGGTGCTCTGAGCCAAGGGACAGCAATATAAGACTTCCTTCTTTCATTTACCTTTGCTGAGCTGTGTGTGTCTTTTGGCCATGGATAAAGGTTAGGCTTGTGTGATTTTAAATTCTTAAACACGTGGTAACTTAAAACAAGTCACGAGAGCGAGCATTTTGAACTCACAATTCACAAGTCGTATTAAAATGATAATCATTCTTTATCTTCTGTCGCGTCTGTATGAATTTCCGCGCGGAGCCAGTTGGATAGTGTGTATCTGCCGCACGTTTCCTTTTTTCGTTTTAACTGAGCTATACTAGGTACGGTTTCAAGGTATGAAATTAAATGAGGTCTTTGTGTACGTTCGTTCGTTTCGGGTGTCTGATATTCAAATCGCCATCGCAGTATTTACATACCCAGGACCAGAATTCTGGCCTGGCAATCAGAGAGTCGTACTGATTTCCTTCGAAACTAACGTCTTGCTCTAACCTCCTGAAAGCATTTCTTTAGAATTACCAGCCGAATAGGAAAACGTTAGCTGCATTTGCAGTTGACTAAGTATAGCCTAGTATCGTTTTGCTTGCTTGAGCATAGAAATCGCCGTTAATTCGTCCGCTCCCTTGTGACTCTGTCTGCCACTTATTCTCAGGAAGGCGGCGGAATACTTTATGGGTTCTACACCTGGGCTTATACATCTTTGTAAGTGGTTTTGGGTGAGGGCTTATAAACGGAGGGACTTATATCAGAGGGGCCCGATAACCGGAATAGAAAAAGCGCTTCGAAACAAAATATGTACAGTGGAACCTTGATTTAACGAACCTCTATTTAACGAAGTCCTCGAGCGGTATAACGAACTATTTTCTTCAGCTAGGCCAAAATTACAATAAAATGTATGGAACAGAAGCTCGATTTAACGAAATCCTCTTTATACCGAACACAATCCACAAGCACAAACGTAAAATTTACCTCGATATAACGAATAAATGTCAACATGTGATAAAAGATGAATGCCAAACAGACCAACAAGGATAAAAGTTATGTGTACAGCAGTTTTAAGCAGTTTCGTTTGCCTGTTCTTGAGTTTCTAGTGCTGTAACTATGTATAGCTCGGTACTGAAATGTTATTACAGTAATTTTTCAGATCCGGAAATGCTGGGTTTTGTAAATTAATTGTTAACTATACCTCGATATAACGAACATTTTGCTAGTTTTCCCGAAAATTCTTTAACAAACAAACAAATTCCCCCAGTCCCTCGGCACTTCGTTATATCTAGGTTCCAGTGTATTGTATTTAAAAGGTCATAATAAGGGAAGTTAGAAGTGGGGCCTTACATCCGGAGGGGGGGGGGGTGAAGGGGGCTTACAGTCGGATGTCTTTTTTTAAATTATAAGAAGAGGAGCCTCCACCTGGGAGTGGGGGGCTTATAAGCGGCAGTTTATCTTATGATCCTTTCGTAGAAAAGTTGACAAAAGGTTCGGTTCGTCTTTTACGACCGTTATTCAATTGGTTTTACATAGAATTAAGAAATGTTTTAAACTAACGTCATGAAATTATTTATTTTTCCAAAATAATATTTTTGTACCACAACTGTAAAGACCACTCGAAGCTAACCTTCACGTTCTTTGAAAGGCTTCCGGGCCAAAAAGACACCAAGAATCCACACCCTTTTGGGAGTGAGAGGGTTTCAATGACTAGCATCCAGTTGTGAATCACTTGGATGTGTGATATAGAAATTTGTAAAAAACTATGTTCCAGTAATTCTGGGACATTTGATCTTTCATGTGACGTTAAGTTACGTAATCTGTTTCAGTGCAATGTAAAGGTATCAGCTAGAAAAGATAACCTGGTAGTTTTTATCTCATTTATTTCACGTTCTCTTGCAAAGCAAACACTCCAAAACAGACAATCAGGACAAGCACCTTGTATGTTCATGTTAACAAAAAGCAGCTGACTGCTATGAATCAGTTTTACTCTTGGCAGTGCCGTAGCCAGACCTAACGGCCAACCGAGGCAGGCGGGAGTTGCTAGGGGGGTTCGGGGGCATGCCCCCCCCCTGAGAAATTTTGAACTTTAGTCTCTCGGAAATGCGATTTGCAGCGTTTTCTGGGCCTTTCGGTAACTTTTTTTCCAGTTAATTTAAGTGGAATTTAAAAAGCAATAATCAGAAACAAGCTACATAATCTGGGTGACCGTTAACCTCGCCAATGGTTTGATCAGTATTTGTTCAAAAAAAATTTGAGTTAACGTACGTAGCCCCTTGAGATCGATGATATGGTAATTTTTTCATAGTATATTGACTGAATTGCTGAATTCTTTGTAATATCATGATGCGTTAAAAATATCCGATGATCGCTTATGTAAAATAAAAATGATCGGCGAAATTCGTCAAAATTTTACCGAGGTGAGTGCCTCGGTTGGCCTCATACTAGCTACGGCGCTGTTTGGTTTGTATGCTAGATTGCTAAGGAAAAGAAACACACACACACACTAATCTGAGCGTCTGGCCTTATTAAGAGGTAAGGGGAAATTAAGACGAAGAAATGGGGAGAGAAAAGGGGGAGAAAGGCCTGACACACGAAGGCATTCTTCTTCTCTTCACTACCTCCCCTTCCCTCTAGAAAAGCCCAGGCTAGTAAAAGGCACCAGCGGTTGGAAAACGCATTTTCTGGTCATGTGATCTGCTACTTTTCATGTTCTAGAAGGTTGTTTAGACCGATAGAAGTCAATCGGTCACATCCAGTGAAACGCTTTACCTTTGTTTTACCACCAAGTGAAACGTTTTTCCGTTTTCCCAGTAGTAGCTGTAATTGATTATCTTTTTTTCTATTGTAGTAGTTTCTTTATTCTCCATTGTAGTAGTTGTAATTGAGTCTTTCTATTAATTTTTTTTAGATGTTGGACGACTTTGAAGTTTAAGTATGGCATCTGTTTTACAGAAGGCTCAAACGCATGATGACCGAGTACATGGATCTCGCAAAGTGAAAGTCACTATTTTGGCATCTGAATGGAGGTCAAGTAATGGGGGACTTTCCACCATAAACAGAGAATTAGCCATTCAGTTGGCCAAGTTCCCTGAAGTGGAAATCACTTTCTTTTTACCAAAATGCAGTCAAGAGGACAAAAACGTAGCCCTTGATCACAAAGTAACGATCGTAGAGGCAACTCCACTGTCTTGTTTTGAAGAGCTTGATTGGCTTTGCTATCCACCAGACGATTTGGAAATTGACATTGTTGTTGGTCATGGAGTTAGACTCGGTAAACAAGCGCAGATCATTAAGAAATCTAAAACGTGCAAATGGGTTCAAGTGGTGCACAAAGACCCTGAGGAACTTAAGATGTTTGAAAGCTATTCTAGCCCAAATTCAAAGGGTGAAGAAAAGCACAAGAACGAAGTAGAACTGTGTGAAATGGCTGATCATGTCGTAGGAGTTGGACCCAAGTTGAGCGAGTCCTTTCGTTCATATCTTTCTGATAGTAATAAAGATGGTAATGTCTTTGACCTCACTCCTGGAGTGTTTGAAGAGTTAAAGACTGTAAAGCAAGTCAGTCATAGCGATAGGCAACAACGCAGAGTCTTGGTGTTTGGTCGTGGAGACGTAGAAGATTTTGAAATAAAGGGATTTGACATCGCTGGGAAAGCAGTTGCTGCGTTAGAAGATACTCGTCTTGTGTTTGGGGCACCAGATGGAAACCACGAAGAAATAATGAGGCGGCTAATCGAGTGTGGTGTTCCTGCAAGTCGATTGGAAGTAAAAGGATTTGTTCAAGACCGAGAGGGTTTAAAGCGCTTATTCAAACAAGTGGATCTTGCAGTTATGCCTTCAAGAACTGAGGGTTTTGGTTTAATAGGACTCGAGGCAATGTCAGCTGGTCTGCCTGTGCTCGTCAGCCGCAACTCTGGTTTTGGAGAAGCACTGTACAGTGTAGCTTTTGGTTCAGCCTTTGTGATTAAGTCACAGGACCCCGCAGTGTGGACCTCAGCCATCCAGAAGATCTGGTCCAAGGACAGGAAATGTCGACTTGAGGAAGCGGTGTCCTTGCGCGATAATTATGGCAGGAAATACAACTGGGCCAAACAGATAAAAGAGTTAATAAACAGGATGGCCAGCCTGACTCACGGTAGGAATGTCAATTATATTTTCTTCAGTGGCACAGGAAACAATAGAGAGAAAAATGAAAAGAAACAAACTTAAAATAGGATCGCTTACAAGTTTTGCCCTGAAGTCTTGATAAGAATGTTCACCAATATCTATCTGAACCTTATGCTGATAACAGCAAAACTGTAACGTTTGTAATACCCCCAGGTACATTGTTTTCAGCGGAATAGTCTGTGGAGAGTGGTCGTCATACCCGTCGGTCATAGTCTTTATTTTCAGTACTTCACATATTTGATTGTAGTTATACACACATAATCCCTGCAATAACATGTTTTCTTATCTTTTTGCAACAGAAGATTCTCGTAAGGCCAGGAGCTCTTTAGAAACAAAGTGCAACGCTTCTCAGAAGATGGAAGGCATGAGTGAGGACCATGAAGGTATCTTGGTAGAAAGCATTCGTAAAAATCATTTCCGTCTATTCTTAACCAAGTGGGAGAGGCGCGGGAGGCACGTAAGAGATAGAAAAAAAAGGGACGGAGAGAGAAATAAAACGGCGCCCCCTTAGCTTCTATCCCAGGAATGCACAACCTAATATATTATGCCCAACAAATGTCCGCCCCGGGGAGGAATGGGCGCACCTGGAATTGACTGAACCTAAATTTTGAAAGAGATTATTATTGTAATCAAAGTTTGTTTTTTGCAGCGCCTTCTATAGAAATTGACGACAACCAAAGAACGGGCACTCATGACTACGAGCAGCTTGTTTCAGAAACGTCTCTTAGCAGTGACTGTGAAATGAAAGGTGATGCTGCAACAGGAAATCCTGCTAAAATGTCTACGAATACAGACTCCCAGTCTCAAAATAGCCGTAAGCGTAAAATGTCACAATTCTCTTGTAATCCAGGTATGCAAAAACATGAGTAGTTTTTCTTGCTATTGCTCGATAGTACACTACTATTTCTAAAAGGGGGAAGTGATTATTAGATTATTCAAAGGTACTTTTTCCTACAGGACTTGTTACCGTTTACGCTCGTACTGCAGAAGTGTATTTTTTATGATAGTAAAACTTATCTATCCCCGATATCAATAGTCGCTTGATAGGCGCCATTTTTATCAGCGGTTGCAAAAAAGTTTTTAAGTAAATATTTAAATATCTAAAAGATATAGATATGTCGTATGCCACTGATATTAGTATTATAAAGGAAATAAAGGGAAATGTAAAGAATCGACCATAACAGGACACAAAAAAATCCGAGCCCCAGGTGAGATTCGAACCCACGACCCTCCGTGTTCTAGATCTAGAACACGGAGGGTCGTGGGTTCGATTCTTGACATCTCCCCTTATAGTCCTTTATAATGCTAATATCAGTGGCATAGGTTGATGGGTTGGAGGCTCCTTCATAGGTGAGGCATTTCTTGCAATTAATGTGACTGCGTGATGCAGTTAAGCCTTAATGTGTTGCTTGTGATGGACTGCGTGACTGCGTGATGCGGTTCGCAAGTCCAACCCACAAAAATGACCCTTGCTCGCAACGAGTCCTCAGTAGCTCAGAGGTTAGAGAATCTGATCCAGAACACGGATAGCCGTGGCTTCGAATCCCATCTGGTGTCCTCTTATGGTCGATTCTTTACATCTCTCTTCATTTCCTTTATAAATATGTCGGACAATAAATTAAATTAGAAGAATTACTTTGCGTACTAAAACTGTACTAACTGCATAAAACCTACTAAAAACGAGTAAAAACGCTAGATCAAATTACATAAAAGCTTTCTGGAATAAAAATGTCTCAAATACCTTCTTAAAAATCAGAGGCACCCAACGACTGTTTTCTGTAAAATATCTGTTCGGAGAAGTAAATATTGCCTAGAAGTTCCTATTGCTTGAATACGGTTAATTATTTCTAGATGAGCGTTCCATTCAAATACTATTTTCGAAGCTTATCTACAAAATGCCCTACGATTTTCTGAAGTTTAATTTTTCATATTTTACTCCTAATGTTAAGCTAATTTTCGTATAAAAAGAAGGCCTAAAATTTTCAGATTCAAAAATATGATGAAGAGAGAAATAAGAAAAATTATCACTTTCGTAAAACGTTCAATTACATCTAAACCTTTCGGGAAAATAACACTGTAGCCCTTGAAATTTCGAAAAGACTGAAGTTCCCCTAGGATGACCGAACAGATACAAATTTTTTTAGCGCCTCTTAGAATGCATTTCTAGAGATCTAAAAGTACTCTGGATAGCCTAAAAAGGTTTTTCAATGCATTTAGGAGGAAACCGTCGTTGGCCTCCCCCAAAAAATGGCAACTGAGGGGCTTCTCTATATCGCAAAAGGAAACAAAAGTTTAGGAACAGCAACAGCAAAAGAGCAATCTCCTGACGTGGTTTAAGTCCTGAATTCTCCGCTATGCCATTGAAAATATCTTAGTGACAAATATTTTCAAAAATATATGGGATGAAAATTCCCAATTTTGCAATTTGTATCTTTCATCGAATTGCCATAAACAGTAACATTTCTTAGACATTCAAGTATGCGTCTATTATTGTGAATCCCTTGTGGGGGCTTGGATGAGTTTGTTAATGCTCTTTGGCTATGGTGAAGTTGCTTGAGTAGACATTTAGTAATGATGAATACCTTGACAAGAGCCGTCTCTTAAATACAGGTACTTCAAGTGAGGATAGCGGAACCTTTTTTAAGAAGCATATGCCCTCCAAGATAGCTAGTCATGAAGGTGCATCTTCCCTGGGAAAGAAACCTCTTAACAGCTGGAGTTTGCAAAACATTTCAGGATCAACTTCTAGTACAGGTAAATTGAACAAGCTAATTATTTTGATAGGTTGGTCCAGTAGTAATGTAGGTTCAGGAATAGTGTTTTTCTTAAAAGATGGCCCACCTGGATATTTAAAGGCAAAAACTTCAAAGTTTTAGTAGGTAACAATGATTTCGAAAAAACAGTCACCCCGTCGAACCCCGCTTTACGAATAACTCGTAACTGATTGCCATGCGCAGGAGAATTTCAGGAAAACATGTACTGACTTCTAACGCACAGCAAATCTGCATAGCATCGCTGCATCTGTGCCGTAGATTAGTTGCCTATATACTTATAAGAGTTTTTGAAGAATTAAACCGAAAAAAAGTCCGTATTTTTACGTATTCAAGTACGCGCAAGCAGTCAAACAAAAGGTCTGGAACAAGGCTGAAAATAACCCTGTTAATACGGCCACCTTCTATGGCTCCTTCAGTGTCCGACGAGGTTTGACTGTATTAAAAAGACGAAAATCGTCATGACCAAATTGTACTGGATGGACATCGTATTTCTCGTAGTCTCCCGCGAAGGCGTTCTCTCTCTAGTCACGTAACGCTCATTCCAAAAGAAACGGCTGATCACATTGAAACAACATTCCTTTCCCATTTTTATTAGCGCTCTGAACTCACCAATCATTTTTTTCAGCAAATTGAGTGACGCTAGTTTATCTCTGGTTGTGTTGAGGTGACAGGCAGGGCAAAATTAAACATAAACAGTTTACTGTCGCTTACAGCTATGGAGTGATAGACCATTAGTAATAATCTGTGAACGTGTTTGTTGTCACATGCACTACCCCACATTGGGTACTGGAAACTACTCGAAAATGACGCTGTGTGAGCGAGGCGACAGAAAAAGTAAAATTAGGCACGCCATCCAAGCGTGCTCTCGATCTACTGACTAAAAAGAAAAATAAGAGACTGCTCGCAGTCTAGCAATTTATCGCCTTGTAACCGCAAAAATGAAAGTGATCAAGACCCAGAGCGAGCCCAACCCAAGCTATTTCCCCAAGGGGAGCTGTGGGAAAAGGTCTTGTTTACTTTGTTCCTTTTAAGTGAAAGTTCAAATTATATTAACAACGTACATTTGTGCAAGTATGCACAAAAATTTGTATGAAGTCATTGTAAGTATTTTGTAATAAAGTTTTAAAAAAATCTGTAACTTTCTTTTTATTGATTTTCAGGTGTTGTAAGTGGCTTGGTCAGACTTTTTATTTCTGTGGAAACCCAAGATTTAAGTGATGAAAAGCAAGAAATAATAGCTAAAGATTTAGAATATCGGGTGTATATGTACCAAAAATACCATGACGTTTCGTCACCTGATGGTATAAGAGCCTTCACTGAATATTTGAAAGAGGCTTACAAAGTGGCCATACGGATGGTGGAATCTGGATCTTTGATAATAACAGTGCAATGCCCCACCCTAGAGAGTCTTGAAAGTTTGTGGAATGACTATGAATCCGGTCACCTTAATGACATCGCTGAGACATTCCTGGTGACTGATGAACTAAAGACAAAGCTCGGGATGGACAATATCAGGTTGAAGACAACCATAGAAGAAGAAAACTACTTGATTTGTAAGATGGCTTTCATGGAAATTTCAGGTGAGCTGGGCAATCTTAAAGCCTAAACCTAATGGATAGCTAGTGGGTGAAATGTTTTGCCAGAACTTTTTTACTCAATACAATACAATACAATACAATACAATGTTCTTTATTTTGAGAGGGTAGATACATGATTAACCCTGTAAAGAGTTTTCTAACACATGGCCCTCTCGCGGCCCCGTAGGTTTTGATAGAGCACTGAGTGCAATAATCCAGCTAAGTGTTCCCACCTTGGCAGTTTACAATGATAACTTTGTAATTCTACCAGTCCGTAGAATGTCATGTACCACCTTAGTAGTAAATAAACGAGGCATTCATAGACTAATGGAGGTCATGCAACAACAACAAATATTGACGAATGCACTTCCTTAGTTAGAAAGATTGGGATTGCCGTGGAGGATACCTCTTGAAGTACTCGCCACTCCTGTTTACTTTACTTTTTTGAATTCGCCACGGTAACTCAACACGGTGACAGGGGATGAAACAGGACTGACTTCCCAATTGATATCAACCCTTTCATTACCCACCCAGCCCATGAAAGGTTGTACCACACCACCTGGGTGTACGCCCCGTACTCTTTACGAACAGCAGTGTGAGTTTTGTTACGTCCCACAAGAATCAAAGCATTGAAAGAGCTGTCCGGAGAGGTGAAGAGGTGTCCGCTTAAAACAAGTTTTAATGGCCGTTATAACTTGTATACTGTTGTTGGTGACACCATCGTTTTTCATTACTAGGGGTAGCAACTATCAACAAATCTTCATCTCAAACAGTTGATTCAGGTCAGGTAGAAGATCCAAGGTTGGATGGAACAAAGTCAGATGTTGTGAAGGTAAGAATATTTCTTTTAGGAACTTGCGAAACGGGCGATGTTTTAAGGCAGTTATGTAACAAGATGGTCAATTTTAGATCCAAACGTTTTTATCAAGAAATTATGTATAGTGTTTGCGCCTTGTATTTTATAATCGTAACCTGAAAAAGCGCCGTTATGGATTACTGAAAACAAAATGATGAATAGGGAGAGATGCTAGTTAGTTTTTAGGAATTGTACCAAACAAATACAGCCAAACCCCGGCATAATACGGACACTGAGGGGGCTATAGGAAGTGTCCGTGTTAACGGGATGTCCGTATTAAGCGAGTTGAATAAGAGAAAATGAAAGGGCTTTCTTTCCCCAGGGATAAAGCAAACTGTCCTTAATAACGAGGTGCCTGTATTAAGCGGGTGTCCATAAAGCGGGGTTTGACTGTACTAAAAAGAACACATTTAATTTATTACTTTTATTTATTTATTTATTTATTTATTTATTCGTTTACTCATTTATTTATTTTTATCATCCTAGGATAAGAAGCAGGTCTTGACACCTAAGGCCAGAGCTGAGAAGGCTAAAGTAAGTTCAGTGGGAAGTTAATTAAGATACATTTTGTAGTGTGCGCGTTTTGTGTATTCCAAGAAAGTAAAAAAGTTTGAAAAACGTCTCTCGATGCTACATTGTTAACGACTTGCACATATATCAACCTCAGCAGAGCGCAGCTTTATTATGAGTTGCAACATTGTTATTTAACTGCACACAATTGCGACCCCTTTTGCAGTGGGTCGCCGTGGAGGATTTTTTTCTCAGTAGTGAGACAGTGTATCATTACCTTCAGTATTCATATAGATGCAGTTAGTAAAGTTTAATTTTTGGAACGAAGAGGGATTAAAATTAAATCCAAGGTGAGGTTTTATAACCGAGTGTAAGGTTGGTAGACTGATGAATGTGGCTTGTGTCAACAGGATTATGCAGTAGTTTTACAATTACATAAAAGGATGTTTTTTAAATAGGCATCGAGAGGCCCTCTACACAAGGCTGCTATCAGTGGGCAATATGAGACGATCAAAATGCTTCTTGAAAGTGGCGAAGACGTGGATCAAAGAGATCAGGTTTTAGCCCTCTCCACAGTTTATGTAAATTTAATGTTTAGCTGGACCTCTTGCCTTCGCTTCGCTCTTGGATTCTTGAATTCCTTTCTTTTCCTGGCTGTGACAGATTGAATTCCGCGCGAGAAGCGTCGAATCAATGAAGAGGGGAATAACGAGAGCCTGAAAGAAAGGCTTCGAGTATTACATGCCTTGCGTTTCCAATAATATTTTGATTGGTCGGTAATGACAGGTTCCATTATTGTGACAAACAATAGGACAGGACCATCGCAAATTATTTTATTTTGGCTCAGTTTCTGAAGAACAAAATTGAACGGCTATATCTTTGAAAACCCTGCATTTGTTGACAGTTTCAGCATATTCGAATTATCTGTCATTCTCTGTATATCTTTAAAACAAGCTCAAACACAGTTCCCCTCGAAGGGTTTTAACTAAAATGGGGAACGAACGCATGTGACAGAGAAATGGAACCAAGCATTGTTTCCATATTTCATTGTGCCGTTTCTAGTGCTCTTCCTGTGTCCCCCGTTTCAGTACAATTGAAATAGAAGACTTCGGACAACTTCAGGGGCGGATCCAGGATTTCTTTTAGGAGGGGGTGCACTCGTCTCTTGCTCTACTTCAACACCAATAAACCACATAGTTTTTTTTTTTTGCAGAATACCAGATGTATTAGAAAACCGCAGGTCATCTCAGGGGGGGGTGCGCACCCCCTGCACCCTTCCCCTAAATCCGCCCCTGAACTTGGTTTTTTTCGTGCTGCGTTGTGCGATAATACAACATGCATCCCACTTTTTAAGGCCGTGTTCTTTGATCGGGTTTTTTGTCTTTATGGTAGTTGTTTTACTTTGCTGTTGTTGTTGTTGTTTAGTTATTATTTACATACTTTATGGGAAAGAGCTCACTAAACGAAATATAAGTATGACAGGTACATATGATAAGAAAGTGATAAAATATTAGTTTTTTGTTAAAGTCAAAAAAAGAGCTAGTTATTGGAGTTTGCAATGTTTTTTAATTTGAATTGTTTGAGCCCAAAAGTCTTGTCAAAAGTAGATTGAAAGAAATCGCGCGGGTGATTCTAGTCCTAAGAAGGGCTGCTGTTAACGGACATTCCGACAACCTCTGCAGTATTCGAAAAAACTCTTGCGATGATTTCCACATCGTAAGATGGCTCTGATGATGACTTCTATACAAAATGTTACCGGAAATATCAGTTATGCCCCCAATAGTCTGACTCACCCAGACAATTACATTCAATCCACTTTATTAATATTCAGTTTTATTTTGACCCTGGAAGGCCGATTACTTAGCCACCCTTTCAACTTTATCTAACTTCGTTTTTTTTTCCTTTTTTGGTAGTTTTCTTTGACTCCTCTTCATCTTGCCTGTTGGTATGGACAGGAATCTGTTGTCAAACTGTTGTTAGAACACGGTGCGAACATCAACGCAGAAGACAGGGTGAGATAGGGAACGTTTTCTTCCTGTTTTTTTCTAGTTTTTTTTTTTTTTTTTACATTGGATCAATAAGTTGCTTGAGAGGGTTGGGGCAAGGGAAGTTGTTGTTTGTTAGTATTATTCACATAAGAATCTAGTAGTAACTGCGTAATAACCTTTAAAAGGCAGTATATTTGCCTTAGCGAGCTCGGTGTTATAATTAATATGGTACAAGTATTTACAAAGGCAATTTGTTAATTAAGTTTTTTCAACGTATTACTACTGTTAATTGTTTTTATTTGATATTCTCGAAAAAATTGGAGCGACAGCGAAAAAGTACAAAATCAGAATTAAAAAAATAACTTGAACTTAAAAACAATTACCCTTTGGATTCTTTTTATCTTTGCCTTTTCTAATGCTTGTATCTTCATGAATTACAAAATGTGTAAAAGAAAAAATATTTTTACATTAGTGTTAAAAATTTTTACTGTCTTTTTTTCTTTTGTTTATGATAGAACACGTTTCTTTGGGCGGGATCCTCTACTCCTATATATCTTTATTATTCAAACAAGCCTTTATGTTTCCTCCTCCTTCCTTTGTAATTCATTTTACTTCTCTATCGCGTTCATACGTTGAAAATGCATGATCTCCGGTGTAATCGTCATCGGTGATTTCGCTTGAATTGCAGTACACTTGTAACTGAAGAACTGCGTATTCTTTATGCTACTTCTAATTACCAATTCCTTTCGTTTTCATTTTCTAGTTTTAATACAAACAAAAAAACAAACAACGTAAAAGGGCTTAGTTCCCGCAGGCTAACGTAATGGCTTTTCTTTTTTTCTTTTTTAATGATTCATTGGACGTTAGATCTTGTTACTGACCAATTGGTTAATTAAGCCAATGCTAAAACGCTATGTCTGGAGATGAGCGTAGATGCGAAACGTAGAGAATTTGTGATTTTTCTCGCTAGCTCAACCCTGCAATTTTTGCAATTAACTGCACTTTGTACTATAATACCTTATGTACACATACCAGTAGTTAGCATGTTTCTATGGTAAAATAGCAAATGGTTTTACTCTGCTTATTATGTTTTTAGTTTCAACGTACACCTCTGCAAAAAGCTGAACGTCAAAACCACCACTCCATAGTGCAGTTGTTGCAGAAGAATGATGCTAGACCAAGTCTTCATCAACCAGTAAGATATCAGATTGTATCTTTATTTCTGTTTCCCTTTTGCGAAACCTTCTTCTCACGTAAATTAAGGCATGGGTCAACAGCCATTTTCCTGTGAAAATGAGGGGGGTGGTCTATAATATGAATGGTTTATCATGAAGCAGAAAATACCAAAAAATATTACACAACACCAAAATTGATGCTTTAAAACAGACCAGAATTATGCAAATTAGGTCACGTGACCTTACAGCTCCTCAAAGTTTCAAAATATCTTTAAGAAAAAATGGGCACACTTTTTAGCGAGAGTTATCTTGCTTTACTACCCTAAGAAGATACAAAATATAAGCCGCTACAAAACTGTGCTTGGCAACTTTCAAATATCTCATCTATTTTGAAAATAAACGGGTTTTTCGACTAGAACCCAGTCTCCCAATACAAATGTGTCATTTTAACATGCCTTTCCTTTGAAAACTCTTGACATTGCCAAGCGCAGAAATGACATACTTAACGGCCTTAAAATTATGAAACTAGTAGAAAAATGAAGGAAACAAGAAAAAGTGTGCCCATTTAAGTTCAAGGGTTTTTCGGGCGTGGCGTGTCACGTGACCTTATTTGCATAATTGGAGCATACCAAACAGATAAAAACTAGCCGTTTATGTGTCTGACAAGTTTTCAGCTTGCCACTGCTAATGTATCGAAAGATAGACCACCCCCCTACTTTTTGACTTAACACCTGGGGACCCATGCCTTAATTACCTTGAGTTTCAGAAGACTTTTTTATGTATTTACTAACAATGTTGAACGTTATATATTATCGGATGAGTTTTTTCCTCTCTTGTATGTTAGACACCTTACATTTTTTCTTGTCCTCACTAACATTAATTTTATAATTCGGTTGCATCCATTGGTTGGCAAGGGCCCAGAATTTTTTCAGTGGTTTCAAAACAATACTCCATTTGAGGACTCAAAAATTCTCGCAACAATTTTGTCACCGATTGTTACTATTGTCATGCTTATGTTATAGTTAAACACATTGCTTCTTTTGATCCTGTATAATCTTTTTTTCAATGCACAAAAAAGGGACCGTTCCGTGTGTCTGTGTGCGGGGCTGGGGGTGGTTTGGGGCTGTTGGCATTTGACACGGGTGGCATTTGGGACTTTAAAGTGGGGGGTCAGGCGAAAAAGATTGGGTGTGAAAGGGCGTAATTAAATAAATTCCTTCAAGGGTTACGGGTCACTGCTCCACCATACAATACAATTGCGCGCCATCATATTTAAAAACAGCATGGTCGTCCTCACTTTGTGTACCATCCAATACAGTATATTTGTTGTCAAAAATAACTAAATAGGTTGAGTATGGTTGTCCGGGTGAACGTAAGCTAACGTAGTCCTGAATAGGACTGTTGCTGACATTGGCTGACGTTTCGACAACCTGTGCGGTACGTCAGTTGATGGAACGACAGAAAACAACAAATTTTATTAAAATTAAATATAACTACTTACATTACTTTCCCACCCGCAAATAGCCTATGGACTAATGGAGGCGGGAGGGGCTAAGGACATATTTACAATACAGGGTTTATCTATAGATGGCCTAAATAATAGTAAAGACACTACAATACAATAAATAGAAAAAACTAACATAAAACAAGGTAAGTAAATAGCAATTACGAAGCGAGACTAGCATAATGTGTTAAACAACTACTAAGACGGAGGACTTCAACATAATAATCTTCTGAGTTCGAAATTTGAGAACCGATTCTCAAGGAGCGCTATATATATCAACTGGATAAATTACTATCCATTAGGAAAACCAATTGCGCTATCTAGTATATAGAGATTTATCATCTGTGGTCTATTGTCCTCCTTTTGGCTTAAGGAGTTTTTAGTGTTTTTTAGATATACAGACAACGGCGAACTAGAGTTAAAACAATTCGAAACTTCTCAAAAGCTAACTTCAATTGGAAACCAACAAAAAGTGACCTCAACTACTTACTTGCTCGAGGAGTTTCATCTACTCCGGGATTGACATTGACACCTTTTGAACAACTGGGGAAAGATTGGTCAACTAAGTCGCGATGTTATTGGTCGTTTGCAATTAAGCCGTGATGTTATTGGCAATGAGACTCGTAATTTTATTGGGTCGTTTCGATCCATCTATGGTCCCAGTTAAACAGTCGTTTATTGTTAGTCAAATTGTCGTTGTCCGGTCATTTTCTCGTCGTTAGTTTTGCTCGAGTCCGTCAATTTGTCATTTGTACGGTGCCCGTAACTGTTGAGTACAGTTCAGTGACGTTTGTCCTAAGTCAGTAAACCAGTTTTCTAAAGTAAGTGGTTGATAGTAGTCTGTAGAATAGGTAATACATGTCGCAGAGTCCCAGTCGATTTGATGTTTCCTCTGTAAATGATTGTTGACGTCACCATTTCTTGTCTTTCGTTTGTATTCTGTCAGTCGCGTGCTAAGGTTTCTGCCGGTTTCATCAATGTAAGTGGCCTGCCAGTCGCAGTATTTGATGGTCTCTGTTTGTTTTCGGTTTGTCTTTGTCCTTGAAATTAGTAAGAAGTCGTAGTTAAAAGTGGTTATCGGTTGTAAGGTATAGTATACGTGCAATAGTTTCAGAGGTGCCTCTGAAGTACGATATAGTCGCCAGCGTAACAAGGCCAGAGTTGAAGTTGGTTTTAGTTTTGGAGTTAGTGTTACTGTGAGTGTTTCGTCTTTCAGAGTCCGCGTTGTAGTTGTTGTTACTAAAAACGTTGTTAAGGTAGTCAGTCCGGTCTTGTAGGCTGTAAGGCGAGTCGCAAACTAGTTGCGCTCGTCTCGTCAAAGTCCATATAGTTGTAGCCCTTCGGGTTGTACGATGACTGGTCTAGTAATCGGTCGGTAAGTGTCGGTTTTCTGTAGATTGTCGTTCGTAGCCTGTTGTTGTCGCGAGTGACCCAACGGTCTGGAAAAGGTATATTAACATTTTCCTCGATCTCCTTCAAGACGAGACTGGCTACCTAAACAACGTCCAAAATACTTAGCTGTTCAGCTAGCGCCCCAGTATCAGGATTTTTGCTTTATGATGCTTCAAGAAACTTGAACTCTGACTCATAGTCGTCACTATAAGCAGCTGCGCTTTAACCAAGATGGTCTCCCTCTGGGCGTAGGAGCGTAAGCTTTCCTAGTTAAGGCGCTGGTCAATAGCACTGACCGTCGTAACAGACCCTTCTATGCCTCTAAAATGATCTTTGGTAGTAACGGATAGGTTGGGCACCAGTCTCTAGTCTGAGTGAAGTGCGTCGCTTTCTTTGTAGGGTTGGCTCGCCAACCAGGCCTTGACTCATGTGGACAACGTTATCGTTGAAAAGGTTGAAGCCCTGATCAGTGTGCATTTTCGTGAGCGTTTCTTTTGTTAAATTTGCCAGGTGTTGTTCACTGACAGCAGCCATCTTTATCCCCTAAAGTCTTATCTGATCGGTGTGAGAATAAAGCTACTTTCCAAGCCAAAAAAAAAAAATAAATCTTCCATTTGGGCCTTGTATCCAATTATCTTTGGACGCGCCATCGGGGCGTAATCAAGCCTTCAGCTTGAGCTTCCCGTCTCCTGGAAGGACGAACGCTAAAGAAAGGGAGTACAGCCAGAAAAGTAGACCAAACAACCGACGCACAAGGAAGGGCGGAAGACGACTTTCTGGAATTTTCAGCGCCTTGTGAACCATAACCTGGCCTGTACGACAATCACTGAAGTATTAGGAATAGGGTGAACTCCAAGGAATATAATGTAACCAGTTGCCAATAAACCAGTTGTGTGATACGCATAGGCACCAGCCTCCCAGCCGAGGGAAAGGGTGCTGTACACGATATACTAACTTTTCCACTTAAGCCTGAATAGGGTTCGGC